CATACATCTAGAGCAGATTTTTTGAGCTAAGAGATGCGAGATGAGAGCTAGAAGACTTAGAACACTTTCCTTGTGCCTCTTAGTACACAAATTTTCAGGGAGGGAGGGAGGAGGGGGTAATAGGGCATGGGGAAAATAATTGGAGTTCTTTCGTGTAAAGGGAGCGTTAGCAGCACTTTTCTGGTAGCTACCGTTCTTAGAATCAGACTCATCTAAAAGTGAATTTTTTTCCTCGAAGGATGTCTTGAAAATTTGGTAACGAGGTCTTTGGACAGAAGAAAATAACCGCCATGAATGTTTACGAATAGTTTACTTCGTTACCAAATAAAGAAATTATTGCAAAACCAAGGAAAAGTGATTATTTTGGAGCTGTTTTTTATCTGCTTGAACAATCAAAATTTTCTGTTTATAGACGATGATTCGGAAGGACTACTACATTTTATGCAAGCTCAACCGTCATCGCATTTAGAAGTTGGGATGCAACCAAAAAAGGTAAAATCCTCCCAAGTTGCTCTCTTCTAGCTTTGAATCTCCTATTTCCAGAACTTCCGACACTCTCAATCGGGAAATTTGTACTTTGTTCCCAATTATGACGGGGACTTCTTCCCAAAGCCTATGGAGGAGCTGCGACGTGAATCGCCAAAGAAGTCCATAATGTGCGGGACCACGCAGAATGAAGGATTATTCTTCGGTAAGAAAAATTCAGCTAGATCTCGTTGTGTAAAAACAAAAATCGTTTTACAGTTGCACTTGGAGGGTTTCCTAAAAGCTTGGAAGGATTTCGGAAGTTCTGTGATCGTATAGTTTGCGAATGTGACTACGGAAGCGATTATGAGACCATTCGCAAAGAAATTTGTGATTTTTATATGAAGGACGTGGATCCAAAGAACAAACTAAAGGTGGCGGAACGTATGGTTGAGGTAAGATTAAGTCGGTAGAGAGAGGTAAAATCATTAAAAAATTTTTTTTAGTTTTTCGGCGACTACGCTATCAATGCGGGTATGATGCGGTACACCCGGTTAATGTCACAGTTTGGCAATGACGTCTATTTTTATTGTTTCGAGCACTTTAACCCAGACGGTTTCGGATTCTTGCGCTTTATGCTTCCTTTCAAAGGTATATTTTTCTAGTAATACCGTCTATCGCGTTTTGCGCATGCTTGCGGCTGCGTTGCGATTGACACAAGTCTCACAATAAACCCAAAAAGATGCTTAGAGGACTATATGTCTCCAAATGGGTGGTCCTACGCGGACATTTGCAACAGACCACGCTACATATTGAAGACATTACAAACTGTACCAGCTGTCCGCATGGGGGGG